TGGACACTATGGGATCAGCTTGAAGACCTGGACTTCGCTGACAACCTAGCCCTGCTTTCCCACAGCCACCAACAGATGCAGGACAAGACAACAGAGCTGGAAGCCACCTCTTCACAAGTTGGTCTCAAGATCCATGAGGGCAAGACCAAGATCCTCAAGATCAACACAAAAAGTGAGGACCCAGTCACACTGCGTGGAAGCGAGCTGGAAGAAGTGGAGACCTTTACATATCTGGGCAGCATCATTGACAAGCAGGGTGGAACAGACGCAGACGTCAGAGCAAGAATCGGCAAGGCGAGGGCAGAATACTTGCAGCTGACGAACATATGGAGCTCCAAGGTGGTATCGACTCGCACGAAGATCGGGCTGTTCAACTCCAACGTCAAGTCAGTGCTACTGTACGGAGCCGAGACATGGAGGACAACAAAGACCACCACCAGGAAAGTACAGACTTTCATCAATAGCTGCCTGAGAAGAATCCTGCAGATCCACTGGCCCAACACCATCAGCAACTCAGACCTGTGGCAGCGTACCAACCAACTGCCAACCGAAGATGAGAGAGAAGATGAGAAGATTCCGGCGCAGAAGATGGGGATGGATTGGGCACACCCTGAGGAAACCAGCCAGTGACATCACCAGACAGGCGCTGGCATGGAACCCCCGGGGAAAACGAAAAAGAGGACAGCCGAGAAACACCTGGCGACGGGACCTTGAGGCAGACAGAAAGAAGACGGGATACACCTGGAAACAACTGGAGAGGGCAGCCCAGGACCGAGGAATCTGGCGGACTGTTGTCAGCGGCCTATGCTTCAGGAGGAGCAACGGGCATAATGATGAATGATTGTATCTTAAACAATCAGAGCAAGTTTGATGTGCCAAAGGCAAATGTGGATGTTAAGAGAAGTTAATTTTTTTTTTGTTGAGTGAATAAAACCATTTTTCTTCATTGAATTTACTGTTTGTTCGCTGCAGCATTGCATGAAGATGGGAGCAGTCTGTTTAACTGTCGATGGCGTCTTCTTGTTAATCAAGGAAAATAATTGTAAACCGGTCAAGACTACTTATTAGTCAAAAGCGATTTTTTTTTTTTTTTTTGGTGACTCCTTGAATTTCAATTGACCAGCCATCTCTGGTTCATTGATTCTGGGACATGAAGCTGGATTTTTTTTTTTTTTTTATTAGTCTGTGTCTCACGAGTGGCAGTATGGCTCATGTTTTGATGATCGATTTATGTAGCAGTTGTTCCAGCTGGTGGAAATGCTCTTAGTCTTGCGCCCTTCATGTCACACGCTGCCTGAATTCATTCTCAGATAATGCGGCTCATTGTCAAGGCCAGTGGGTTTAGTTCTGTTTACACTGGCATGAACCAGAGTGATTGGACCTTGGACTTCAGACTCTGTGTTTCACAAAAATGCCTTCTCCACATAAGAACTAAAGGAAGAACATGAGACTAACCCTTTGAAGGATAGGTTTTTGGGAATTTTTTCCCCTCAATGTTCTGGCTTAGTGTTCTAGAATTCTTTTTCTTTCAATGGCCCGTATTGATTATTATTTCCGCATTGGTGTGTTCTGTGGGGAGTGTTAATCGTATTTGTGTGCTCCCTATGGGTCAGTCACACTGGAGACCGAATGAGACTAAAGCGGTACATGGGTTGGAATTATTTTTTTCGCTTAAGTTCAGATACTATATTTTACCTATAGGCTGTTTAAACATGGATGTGGCCGGTAGTGTACATGCCTTTCTTAGGATATATTTTGGGCACAGAATCCTGTTCATGCCCTGTTTACACATCTGTGTCTCTTGCCTGCTGGCCATCCCACTGTTTTGTCCCTTTCCTCTCTGATGTGTGCCCCTTCTGCCTCTTCCCACAGGACTGTCCAGAGTACCAGCGCAGCGCCGGCACATTCCAGCGGCGGAGAGTCAGCCTCCTCCAGCGGGTCAGAGAGCACCTCTGAGTCTGACAGCGAGAGCAACGAGAGCACCAACGAGGAAGTTCCCCTTTCCCATAGGAGCAAACCATCAGTACCCAAGGTACACCCACCTTCCCCAAAATCTGACCCTTGACAAACCCCCTCTGTTAAGCATAGGACATTTACTTAGACTAGCTCAGTGGTACATATTCACTGTCTGCTCAGGACTTTTATCAATTGTAGCCCCCGGACAAAGTCGGGCTGCTACTATGGATTCATGCTTGTCATCTCCGCCAGCGGTGGCAGTCCGCGTCCATAGACACTTCCTTGTGGACGCTGTACAGGCTGTAATTACTTTTATATTTGGTATGGACATGTTTTATACTTCATTTATGGCACTAATCGATTTTGGTTGCCATGGCTACAGTATTGACTGAATAATGCGCAAATTTGTGCTATAATATTGAGATTTCCTTGTGGATGCAGTGCAGACTTCAATTTTTGACCGATTACTTTCATATTTGGCATGGGCATGTGTTATACTTCACTTATGACACCTATCGATTTTGGTTTCCATGGCGACATTATTGGCCAAATAATGCGCACATTTGTGCTGAAACATAGAGATTTCCTTGTGGACACAGTACAGGCTGGAGAAGCCAGCTTTCGGGGGCTACACCCATGCGGTCACGGGCGACCGAACTGTATAGTTTCTCATGTGGTCAGATAGGAATCCATAAAAAGTGTGCGAGAGAGGGAAAAACACTCTGTCATTGCAGTGTAGTTCAAATTAAATTGTTGTTTTGAAGAACAGGGAGGAGCAAGTTGGTCCTCATTACATGGGTCTCAGAGTGAAAATGACACCTTGCTGGTGGATCACTCTCTGAAGACACTGTTCAAGCATGTTGGCTGGTCTGGTATCAAATCTCTGCTGGTGCTGACTGGCTGCAATTTCTGCTGAGCAGCATTGAAGTTGCCTTAGCTTTTCCCTGGGAAGGAGCGTTTCTATTGGCTGCTTGTCCGTGTTTTAATGCAAAACAGGGTCACCATCTCTGGCCAGTTGGGTGCCTACACAGCCTCATCGCTGTGTACTGTCAGACCATCTGTGGCTCATTAATTCCCTGATTAGGAATACTTTTTTGACTGTCCTCTCATGTCCTCCTTATTCAATCCAAAATACTAACTATATTCCAATAGAAAAAATGTATTATGGCAAATTGCAGTTGGTGGTTTAAGCATAGGTTTTATTCTAAAATGTAATTGATTTTTCTCAAATCTTGATGCAGGCAGATGATGCCCCTACAGAAAATAAGTGGCACCTAAATAACTGGATAAAAATCAACCAGCAGAACTCGAGTGCTGACAGTCAAGGAGACAGGACTCAGCCTCTCAGCCCGGTTCCTAAGCAGCGACATGAGGAGGAAGGGGAAGCCAGTCCCGCAAAGGACTACAAGTCCCAGATCCCAACTCTTGCAACAAAGTTCAGTGACAATGAGGTCAAGCCAGCGCCGGAAGATTCTCACAGCCCAGTGGGCTGCCTCGAGACCCCCGTGCGTACTGACAGCCGGGGCCAAAGAAAGACTGTGGGCAGCAAGCATCCCTCTAAGGCTGCCATGGCGTCTCGAACAGAAGTGACGAAGCCAGGTTTGAAAGTAGAGAGCGTCGAGGTGGTCTCCCACGACACAAACCATACTTTTACAGAAAAGCCAAAGGTCAAAACGAAACCCAGCCGAGAAAAGGGCAGCTTGAAGGCAGACAGCAGAAAGTTGTCCAAACGAGGCTCATCTGAAGGGAAAAAACCTAAACTTTTGCCCCCCAAAGATGAGTCCGCATCCATCGGCAGGAGTGAGATGGAAGCCAAAGTGTTGCCCAGCCCGGCACACATCCAGCAACCATCGGCCCCCGCGAGTACTTGCGCAGTCAAGTCAGAAAAGTCCTCAAAAAAAAGCAAGAAGAAGTCCAGAGACTTGTCCTGCACGGATAATGGGAAGCACCGAGTGCCAAGGAAGGGCAAGCGGAGCCACAGCCTGGTGGTGAAGATCAAATTGGACCTGCTCTCCAGAGTCCCACAGCCCCGGGACAAAGCAGCACCCACCGCCAGCAAGGGTGAGGAGCCGAGAGAGGGGAAGAGGCCAGAGCTGGAGAAGGAAGATGGAGGACAGAGTCCCTCCCAAGGCAGCAGGAAAAGAGAAGTGGGTTCACTCTTATGTGCTTAGAAGCGATGTCCTTAGTGGGCAGTTTTTCCTCCATCCTCCTGCTGTCTTTAACCAGAGTTTCTGCTCAAATTTTTTTTTTTTTTTTTTTTGTTGCTGGTCACTGTGTCCGGTAGGGATGTGTTTTGCCTCAAATCTTAAAAAAAAAAAAAAAAAAAAAATCCAGTTGCATGTAAATCCATTTGCATGTTGTTATGTTGTAAAAAAAACAACTACTGTAAAATACTTAAATCAATTTAATTGGTTTTTAAACCCATTATTGGGTTTAGGTTCGATGAGGGTTATTTCACATCTAATCACGCAAAAATGGGTCAATGCATTTTGAAATGGCGGCGTGCTGACAGATGCGTGAAAGCCATACAGTATCCTCCTCTTAGAACACTTGGTTACTGTCGCTCAGTTCCCATGTTTGTGTTGCCTGATAAACAATCAAACAGTTTATTTACTGAATAATCAAGGGCAGTATTTACCTTATAATCAATGAATGATAACAAAAAAGTGATTGCTTATTGGCTAATTGGCTATATTTATCCTTAATGGCTGTTAAACTCTACGAATGGCAGTAATCTGAGTAACTGTAGGAAATAAATTGCAAAATTTTCTTTTAATTCTATGTAACTTCTGATGGTGCTTGTTTTTTTCAAAATGTTTAAAACATAAAAAGAATACTATAGAAGAGGAGGATATATTGGGTGTATTGAAGTAAAGGGGTGAAATGGCTTGCGGTACAATTCAAACAAATTCGTACAAATGTGTGCCATGGTGTGACCTGAGTTCAGAACCCTCGAAGGAGACAGACGTAAATGTCATCATTGATATGAATAGAAAAATGCCTCATTATTTTGATGTAATTATCAATAATATGGCATTATGGGCGGCACAGTGGCGTAGTGGTTAGCAATGTTGCCTCACAGCAAGAAGGTCGTGGGTTTGAATCCCAGCCTGGGGCCTTTCTGTGTTTTGCATGTTCTCCCCGTGTTCGCGTGGGTTTCCTCCGGGTACTCCGGTTTCCTCCCACCCACAAAAAACATGCATTTTTAGGAACACTCCAACCAGTACCCATGACCAAGGAACTGGCTTTAGAACTGGAGTTGGTCCCCGGGCGCTGCTCTGTGGCTGTCCACTGCTCCTAACTATAGGATGGGTCAAATGCAGAGGACAAATTACCCCACAGGGTTCAATGAAGTGTATCTTAATACTATCAAAAATTAATTTCCCACTTACGCAACCAATTAGTCTTGGCAATGCGCAAATCGACACGTTGGTTGCAAATCAGGCAAAGTAAGAGTTAGAGTGTCAAACTAAGGGGCAAACGGTGAGTTTACTGTGGGCCTTTCATACTTCCAACTGTACTGTGTTCAAATAATAATGTTTAGTCATCAGGATGAAACTCATATGGGCCTGTAAGGCTATTGCACTAATAACTTGCACATTTATAAATGAAAATTTGAAGTTTAATGTTCTAAAAATTGCTTGTTCTCAGGTCCTTATTTGACTGTTAATTGTGTGCAGTTAACAAGCATTCTCTTATGACCATGTATGCTTGGAAAGAAGATGATCTGAGAAAAATTTGACTGGGACTTTCCTTGGAGATAAACATATTTTACTGGTCAATGACTTGCAATTACTGGATAATGGAAACTCGGCCCCAATATTACTAACGTTTATTGCTTAGCTCTTTCTTTCCTAATTTTTATGCCTCCGACCTTGAAAGAGTCAGTCGGGGGCATTTATGTTTTCACCCCTTCCGTCCGTCCGTCAAGGCGCCATGTCGTGAACTTTTCCTTTGTTGCGCTCTAACGTGAACACCGCTCGACGGAGGTTTATGATTTTTGGTGGGGTGAATGGTCATACATAGGGGATGATGCCTATCGATTTTCAGCTCGCTCCGCCAACCAATATGGCTGCCATGGCAGGCATCTTGAAATCCTTTGTCGTGCTCTAACGTGAATACCGTTGAACGGAGGTTTATGATTTTTGGTGGGGTGAATGGTCATACGTAGGGGATGATGCCTATCGATTTTCAGCTCGCTCCGCCAACCAATGTGGCATTTTGGAATCCTTTGCTGCACTCTAACGTGAACATCGCTCGATGAAGGTTAATGATTTTTGGTTGGGTGAATGGTCATGCATTGGGGATGATGCCTATCGATTTTCAGCTCGCTCCACCGACCAATATGGCCACCATGGCAGGCATCTTGAAATCCTTTGTCGCGCTCTAACGTGAATACTGCTCGATGGAGGTTTATGATTTTTGGTGGTGTGAATTTTCATACATAGGGGATGATGCCTATCAATTTTGAGCTTGCTCCACCAACCAATATGGCAGTCACAGCAGCCATCTTGAAATCCTTTGTTGCAGTCTAACGTGAATACCGTTGAACGGAGGTTTATGATTTTTGGTGGGGTGAATGGTCATACATAGGGGATGATGCCTATCGATTTTCAGCTCGCTCTGCCAACCAGTATGGCTGCCACGGCAGCCATCTTGAAATCCTTCAGCACACTCGCCGGAGGTTTTTACCCCTCGGCCGACTCCGGCCCGGAGGGGTATTGTCGTCACCTGCGTGTCGTCTGTCGTCTGTCGTCTGTCGTCCGTCGTCCGTCGTCCGTCCAAGATATTGTCCGGGCCAGTACACGGCAACTTATGATCGCAGCTTCACCAAATTTGGTATGGTAACTCACTATGACCCATAGATGTACAACGTCAGGTTTTTTGCTGGATTTGACCTTTGACCTTAGCGCTGTGACCTTGAGCCTGGAAATCTTGTCCGGGTCAGTACTGGGCAACTAATTCTCGCAGCTTCACCAAATTGGGTATGGTAACTCACTATGACCCATAGATGTGCAACGTCAGGTTTTTTGCTGGATTTGACCTTTGACCTTAGCGCTGTGACCTTGAGCCTGGAAATCTTGTCCGGGTCAGTACTGGGCAACTAATTATCGCAGCTTCACCAAATTGGGTATGGTAACTCATTATGACCCATAGATGTGCAACGTTAGGTTTTTTTGCTGGATTTCACCGTTGACCTTAGCGCTGTGACCTTGAACCTGGAAATCTTATCCAGGTGACATTTTCCGGGCCAGTACTCAGCAACTAATGATCGCAGCTTCACCAAATTTGGTATGGTGACTCATTATGACCCATAGATGTGCAACGTCACATTTTTTGCTGGATTTGACCTTTGACCTTAGCGCTGTGACCTTGACCCTGGAAATCTTGCCCGGGTCAGTACTCAGCAACTGATCATCGCAGCTTCACCAAATTTGGTATGGTAACTCACTATGACCCATAGATGTGCATCATCAGGTTTTTTGCTGGATTTCACCTTTGACCTCAGGTTTTTGCTGGATTTACCTTTGACCTTAGCTTCTGTGACCTTGACCCTGGAAATCTTGTCCGGGTCAGTACTCGGCAACTAATCATCGCAGCTTCACCAAATTTGGTATGGTAACTCACTATGACCCATAGATGTGCATCGTCAGGTTTTTTGCTGGATTTGACCTTTGACCTTTAGCACTATGACCTTGACCCTGGAAATCTTGCCCGGGTCAGTACTCGGCAACTAATCATCGCAGCTTCACAAAATTTGGTTTGGTAACTCACTATGACCCATAGATGTGCGTCGTCAGGTTTTTTTTGCTGGATTTGACCTTTGAACTTAGCGCTGTGACCTTGACCCTGGAAATCTTGCCCGGGTCAGTACTCGGCAACTAATCATCGCAGCTTCACCAAATTTGGTATGGTAACTCACTGTGACCCATAGGTGTGCATCGTCAGGTTTTTTGCTGGATTTGACCTTAGCCCTGGAAATCTTGTCCGGGTCAGTACTCATCAACTAATTCTCGCAGCTTCACCAAATTTGGTATGTTAACTCACTATGACACATAGATGTGCATCGTCAGGGTTTTTTCTGGATTTGACCTTTGACCTTAGCTCTGTGCCCTTGACTGTGGAAATCTTGTCTGGATCAGTACTCGGCAATTAATTCTCGCAGCTTCACCAAATTTGGTATGGTAACTCAATATCACACACATATGTGCAATGTCATGTTTTTTTGCTGGATTTCACCTTTGACCTTTGCGCTGTGACTTTGAGGCAGGAAATCTTATATGGGTCAGTACTCAGCAACTACTGATCGCAGCTTCACCAAATTTGGTATGGTAACTCACTGTGACACATAGATGTGCAACGTCACCTTTTTTTCCTGGATTTGACCTTTGACCTTAACGCTGTGACGTTGAGGCAGGAAATCGTGTCCGGGCCGAGGGGTATTCAGCAACGCGTTATGTTTGCTTTTTGGTGACCTAAATGGTCATACATAGCAGATGATGCCTAACACTTGCTTTCTGTATATGTTCTTCAACTGTTTCAGTCGGGGGCATATGCCACGCCTTGCGTTGCTCTTTTTATTCCATATTATCCCCCAGCCAATTTTAAGAAATGTGCTTAAATATTGTCAGCATTTGGCTGCAGTGGGGTATTTGACAATTTGGGGGCCCAAGGTGAGCACAGGCATGGGGCCTGCTGCATCTGTTTTTCTCCAATCTTTTCAATCCTTATCTTCGCTGGTTTTCAAAGAGCATTTTTTCATTTTTATTAATTTATTTAAAGGTGCTATGGTCATCTTTCATAAATTCGATGTCACTACTGACTAGGGGTGGGAAAGTGTTCAAAAAAATTCTAAACGTGTACATGTGCCGTATAATTGCGTGTACACGTGTCTTCAGAGTTTATACAACCGTTAGAGGGCACTGTCACCATTCCAATAAACAGTCTACACATCCATTAACGCAGTTATCAGCCAGATACATTTATTAAATCGATAGACGGTAACAGTGAATTCGTAGGTTACTCCAATACAAAATTACGGCCTACATCAGATAGGCATGAAATCACAACTAAATGAATAATGTTAGGCCCTTTCACCATTGTAAATGAATTAACCATGAACGAAAATCATCATTTTGGCAAGCAAGAACATGGACATGAATGAATTCTAACAGTTTAGCTCTGCTTTTTGTCATTGTCCTTATTATTATACCTTGTACAATTTGATTTGTAAACTTAAACAGCACACTGCATCCCTCACTCACAGCGGGAGCTGCGTCTCACTATCGTTATGTTTCAGAGTCATTAAAGTGAATTGTAATTGAGGAGGAAAAGCAGCTGATAAAGTAAAACAAAATTGAGAAACACTTTTTACATCCACAAAGCTAAAACAAAAATAAATGTAAACTGCGTTTTATGTGTTCTCATTCAAATAACAAAATGAATATGCTTTTCTTTTAAGGAGCAGACGCGAGGATGATATAGTCCATGGAAATATAGCCGGCCGACAGAATGTCCCCCAAAAATGTTAAAAACACACAGTGAACAATATGTGAGATTAAAATAATGAGCTATTTACCAATCGTGTTTTAAAGCAACATAAAGAGGAATTGAGCGTGGAGACGATGGCTGCGTCCGAATAGTCTTTTTTGCTTAGGAAAGTTCCTAACTCCTAGAAAATGATCCGGAAGTATTTATGTGGCAGTCATGATAAGAGTGTTTGGCTTCTTTAAAAGTAAAGGAAAGGTGCTACAATCCTTCCTAATTTCCTAATTTAACACCGTTAGCATAGGGTACACTGAAGCATCCTTTTCAAAAAGAAAGGCGGAAATGCTGTCCCGCAATTCCGCGATGACCGTCCATCTGGCCTAACGCAAAAACAAACAAACATGACGGGCAGGAGACAGGTGATCACTGTGCCTAGTGTAAGTGCATTCGGATTCTCTTAGCACGGTTCTCTTCCTAAGCTGTAAAGGAGTCCCCTTTACACCTTTCCACCTTTCCTTTACCTCATGACGTTTTACACAGGTTAAAGGAAAGTGGTTAGGAATTAGACGATAGGACGTAATTTTTTTTTTTTTTTTTTAACTTTTCGGACGCAGCCGATGAGTGCGTGTA